TAACATTTTTCCGAGGAAAGAAGTTAATCTCCCGGAGTAAAAAGTAGTCTATATCACTCTCCAGCCCTCCAATTATCTCCACACAAAAAATCACGACAATCCGTCACTCTGTTTTGACGTGAAAGAAGGACAAACAAACAAACAAAAAAACACACTTTCACATTTATAATATTAGTATGGATATGGACGTATCATGGCAGTATTAGTTATTTTTATTTAATACGAGAAATGTGGTTTCCCCTATACAGATAGATATACACTTACTATGTTAATGTGAAAAACGAAATTTTCAAAAAAGTTTGTTTTAAAAAGATTAAATAATTTAAATACAAGAAGCCATTTTCTAAAAAAATACCATAAAATCTTGATATTTAATAGTAAAAAAATTGTACGTTGGTCTTGTATTTTGCTCGTCTTCACTATAATTTCAATACAATACAAAATCAGTATCATAAAATCATCTCTCCCGTGACCATGGATGCTGTAAAGCATTCGAAACGTCGGGAACCAAAAATCAAAATAAATCCGCGAAATAATCCGAAAAGATAGTTTTATTTCATAATGTCAAACATTCGCGTAAATCTAAGAAAGTATTATCATAAAATCACTTGAAATGATGTATTCTTTTATACGATTTTAATTGTTTTTTGTTGTGTATAAACATGAGAAAGTTTGGTCCTGTAACACTGGTTAAAAGCGGATCTGGTAATGTAAATAAGGTAAAAGACAAAAATGGAGATTCCAAAACGTTTAATATTTGCATATATAAAACATTGTTTGGTGACCTGGTGATTATATAATTTAAGGTACTGAAACACACAGTTTTATATATTTCAATCAGTCTCATTCACAGCCGTGCAACCTGTTCAAAATTAAGCCAGTCTTTCATATATTCATTGAAGCCTTTTGCACCACATAAAAATAAAAAATATACTCCATACATCAGCAAGAGAAGCGTACTGAAAAAAATACTGTTTTTGACTTGAAATTCGGCTGAATGGAACGGGTCGAGGCACGATGGAAAATCGCAGTAATAACAGGTAAATACCGTAGTATTGGAAAAATATTCACACTAGAAAAGTTCAAGATATTAAATGCGATGTTTTATATTATACTTTCTTTTTGCGGTTAATATATACTATACTGTTAATTTTCCACAAACTATTGGTATTTTTCTATATCTCAAAGGTGGTAAACAAATATGTATATGTATGGCCTATCGAAGATTAAGCGGTAATCATAGTTTAGGTATGAAGATGGACAGGAAGTTGATGGACGGCTCTAGCGCTCTCATTCACCAAATAAGATACAGTAGAATGGGTTTGATTGAATTATTGGTGATCTATTGTCTTAAAAAAATATTCGTTCCATATACATACAAATAAAATTCACTACTGACTTCAGGCAATGTACACGTTAGCTTTTTAGCTTCCGACAGTCTAGCTGGACGTGAAGCCAAGAAACGCTCTTGGGATGCTGCAGCCCATCTCGGAGGGTTGTGTATCATGCAATATATTCTGGTACTTCTCTGGTAGCTGAGTGGCAACTAAGAGTACAACTACCAATAACTACGAGTACGTATAAATCCTTTTACGTTAAAAAAATAAATAAATAAAGGCAATGTATATGTAGCAGCTCTAAGTGCAACACAGAATACGATGTTTGTGCTCTATAGCTCTATTTGCCGAAATCAGAATTTTGTCATTTGTAAGATAATAATGAAATAGCAGCAAAGATTGTAAATTAGTGTAGGAAGTTTCGAGAACTCACTTGAATATACTAAAACGAACCTTAAACTTTGTTAAACTTACGCTTTAAAACGCACCAACAGTAGCTAAAATTTAAAGTTTAGCGGTTACCTTACATTTAATTAGGTTAACTTACCTAACATACTGCAGTTGTGACTCTATTAGTACATGTAACCAGTACTTCTTAAACTAAAATTCCTTCATAAAGTAAGACTTTTTTTTTATATATTGTTCATTTTGAGTTCAATTCAATTCAATTTTCTTCTTAATGTCTTCAAAGCGTGCCAGTTGAGCACAGATTATTTAGCCAATGTCACGTAGAATAGAGAAAAACATTTAAAGTTAATTGTTATCAATAATGTACTGTCACTAATTAACAAGTTTATTTACTTTTATTTTTAACATATATTTTTAGAAGTAAACATGGAGCTGTCGAGTAATTATTGCATGGTCTAAGTGAGAAAAGGTATTCGTGTAAATTTTACCTGATACAGACTTCTGTAAGGAAAGATCGTGGTACTTTAAAAGTAATATATTTAGCAGTTATAAATAGTTGTTTTATAGTTCTTAATTTTTTTTTTAATTTGTTGTAGTCTAAAATCTTTATTTACAAAAAAGAAAATTACAAATATACTTAACACGTTCAACGCCACTACGATTTTCATGATGTCTTCTCGGATGCCGCATACATTTCACGTTGGACTCGCCAAGCGAGTCGCCGGCACTACAATATAATTTGAATGGACTCGCCACGCGAGTTCACTGGCATTATGTAAGGGTAAAATTTATTTTTTGTTATTATTGTGGCTGTCTTAGTCTCGGTAACGTTTGTATCGGAAGTATAAAGTGTTTGACGACTATTCAGTGTGTTTTAAATTAAAAACATGGCAAAAAACTCAAAGGATAAAATAAAAGGTAAGTTTGTTTCGTAATTTAGGCAGTGGTTGTCAACTTTTTATACAGTGGTTATTTTTAATGTTATATTTTGTACTAATAATATTTCTGAATAGCAATTTCGCTCTGAATATTTAACGCTGTCTCCTAGTTTTACGAATATGTTATCAACTTCTATAAATATAAGTATACCATTCGTTTTTAATGCAACTCTAATAATAAAAGGAAATAAATTCAATTATTTTTGTATTTAAAATAATTTAAACTGAAATAAATTAACATTGTACCTATTTATTATTATGTAATATTATTTACAATAATAGATAATATTTGAAATAATATAATTGAAATTTGACATTAAGTAACAACCTGTTTTTTTAGTGCTATTAGTCCCAGAAACAGAGCCTTATGACGAAGATTCAACTCAATTTGAGAGCCCCCCACCTACAAAGCGATCATGCATAGAAGGTAACCTGCTTATTTTATTATTTGTATTCATTTCATTGATAACAACTTAAAACATTTTATGTAATATTTGGTGTATTTTTATCTCATAAACGTCTGTAAGCCATGATTGTGTATAGATATGCAATATTGTGTATACACAGACATTGTCATACAATATGTACATGTAGGTATATCTACACAGTCATGGCTCGCCTATACCTCAAGGTATATACTATACCTAAACCTGTTTTATACCTACTTTTTTTTTCAATTTTAGATAGTCGCCAAACTTCAACAAATTATTCGATGGAAGCACTCTTAGAAAATAATTCTCAACTTAACTCTAGTACCTGTTTTGTTTCCTTATTTATCATCTAAAGTATGAACCTAACAAAATTTGCGAAAGGTTGGGACTGCGAGTGTTTCTGAATAAAAATAATATCTCTTTATTAGGTATACTTTTTGTTTATTGTTAGTATCTTACCCATTGGATTCTCACAATTGTGAAACAGCTAGTTTTATTATATGTGCACAAATATTTTACCTACTAAGTGAATATTTTATTTTTTTCATTTGAAATCTGAAACGCAAAATAATTGAACAACAGTATTACGAATTGTACTTATTATAAGTTCCTATAATCATTGAAATCTCAACTAATATTATAAAGAGAAAAAAAATATTTTTATTCATAACTAGCGACTTACCCTAGCTTCGCTCGGGTGTCGTGCCTAGCTTGCTTCCCCATACAAACTTTCATCCCCATTGTCACCCCCTTAAGGGATGACTTCCGGGATAAAAACTATTTATTTCACTCACTTTCATATCACGAGATGAAAAAAAATATTTTTTTTGTAAAAAATCTTTTAATTTTCTTCTATACGAAACTTGTCCTAACAATAAAAAATACAAAAAAAAAGAAATATCCAATTTGGTGCAGTTGATCGGAAGTTATGCGTGTAAATATATTTCAATGATTCATTTTTATTTATATAGATTTACATTTTACAGTGAACTCCACATCAACCTACTAAAAATCGAAGTTATGGTGTTGACGACGTTAAAATTTGAGAATCTGCGGCATTGAACTCACCTAGCGAGTTCACGGCATTGCAGAATAAATTTTTTCTTTTAAATGTAAAAAATTTCTTTACATCCAGGCCACCATGTAAACGTGAACATGACATCATATTAAGTCTACACCGTAATTTTGAACAGAATATACAGAAGCGTTTTGAAAATATTACCGAAAAACACTGAACTCGCCGCGCGAGTCCCCGGCACTGGAATAAAATTAACGTAAACTCGCAGGGCGAGTCGGTGGCACTGAACGTGTTAATTATATATACAAAACATATGTACACTTAGTTATTACTGTACAAGTCAGTTCTTAATTAAAATTAAAAGTTGTAACAGGATGTAGAACACCTTTAAATCTAAATACAATATAGTACCGAGATAATGCTCGTAGATGAGCATTGAAGTAGTCTATAAAGGAAGTATTAAAAGCTTTTATTCGAGACCTTTTCTTCAAGAATAGTGTGGAATAGCGCGTTAATGGTATAGGGACAGTCGTAATGGTGAATAAGAAGTTGGTTTAGGACGTAGGGCCCATGCCGCGTGACTTATGGCAAATCGATAGGACTTTTGGGTTTCGGTCACATGTGCTTGTTTATCATTTTGACATATTACGTATACGTGTTTCTGAAGAAAATCGTTATATATTAATATTATATGTTAAGTTTATTCGTGTGAAGGTAAAATGTATGGAGTTTTTGTTAGATTTACATTTATATACGTATATTTTATGGCTTTGTGAGTAATTTGAGTCGCGCGCGCGCATCGAGCCGCGTCGGATGTGTGCCTATCGAGTTAAGTGTCGCTCGGGTGCAACTTGAAAAATAAATAAATATGAATACGTTAAAATGTAGTAATTGTCGCATCGTGATTGACGAACTTTTAGCTTACGTGCAAAATAAGATATCAATCTCGAATGAAATTAGTCTAGTGCAAATATGTGCATCTGCTTTCTCATGCGAACAAATCGAGAAAGCAAATAATCTACTTTTGGAGTTTTTACCGCAGGATGTGCGTTCTAAAACCGTACGTAAAGGAAAAGGCAAGGAAAACCGCCTACTACACGATATCATAAACGTTTTTAAGGTCACCGATCCAGATATATTACCCGTGTTCGTGGCTAAAGATTTGGAGAAACTGCCACCTATAACTTTCGATCATCTGGATGTCACTAAGTTGTTGAAGGATCTGACGTTAGTACAGACGGAGATTAAACGTATTAAAATGTCCTACGCAACGATCGAACAGCTTGAAGATGTTAAAAGAGAATGTCTTAATGGAAAGCTAACGCCGCTTACGACTACCAAGGTTAACATGAAAAGAGGAGCGTACTGCGACAGTGGACCTATAGGGTTATTTCCATTAGATGACTCCATTAATACAACGGAACAACATTTAGAGCATCCTAATTATGAAACATCACCTCCTACAGGGTATCAATTAAAGTATAGGTCTATTAACATGAATAAAGTTGAGGGTCACAACGAAAAGATTCAAAATAAGTTAACTCAGTGCGCGGTAAACCGCCGCGACTCATGTAACGGTCGTAGCTCGGACGACGTAGAAGAGGACGGAGCGAACGCATCATTGCTTTTGCACAGCGAACAAACAGATGATATGGAGCGAACAAAAGAAAAGCAAACTTATGCTCATATTGTTAAAGATCATAATACAAATGAAGGCTGGACAGTAGTACAAAGAAAGGCAATAAAATCAAGAAATCGTCTTATTGGTAGAATGGGGAATGTTGTCATAGAATCGGAGGAGAAATTTAAGGCAGCGGATAGAAAAATACCGCTATTCATAACTAACGTTCATAAGGATACGGCAGAAAAGGATATAATTAATTATATCAAGAAGAAAACACAGGAAAGTGTCACTTTAGAAAAAATTTCGATTAAACGACAGTGTGAACACAACGCGTATAAGCTTTTTGTGTCGCGAAGCAAACTTCCATTGTATTTAGACGAGAATTTATGGCCGCAAGGGATTATTTTTCGCCGGTTTGTGCATTTTAAAACGAAGCGATCTAGTGATATATCTGTTACAAACACAGAGGTGACGAAGAATAATATGACCACTATTAATGGATAAAAATATAAACTACAAATTTGTTACGTTTAATTGTAAGAGTGTTAAGCGTTCTGCGCAATACATACGTGAACTGTGTAAAACTACAGATATAATAGCGCTGCAAGAAACTTGGCTTTTGCCAGAAGAGTTAAATTTCCTTGACACGTTAAGTGATGACTTCAGTTCCACGGGTGTATCTGCAGTGGACACGGCCTCTGGTATTCTGCGTGGACGACCATACGGAGGCGTAGCGCTGTTGTGGAGACGTAGTGTTTTCTATGATGTGTCCGTAATTCCGTGCAATAACCCGCGAATCTGTGCTATTAAAATAGTATTAGAAGAAAAATCGTTTATTGTGATGAGTGTGTACATGCCCACGGATGCTCCTGACAATCTAATGGATTTTACAGACGTCTTAAGCGCGGTAAGTGCGATTATTGATACGTGTGGGGAAAATTGTGTGTACATATTGGGTGACTATAACGCGCACCCTACAGAGCGGTTTTATAACGAACTTTCTCAGTTCTGCTTAGAGCAAGATTGGACATGTATAGACACTGATATGCTAGGTTCTAACTCGGATACGTATACTTTTATAAGTGAATCACACGGGTCCAAGCGGTGGCTTGATCATTGCTTAGCCACGAAATCTGCTATAGACTCTGTACGCAGTGTATACGTGTTATATGATGTGTTATGGTCCGATCATTTTCCATTGATTGTCGAATGTAGCTTAAACGTATTAATATCGAAAAAACCTGTAATAAGCACTTGTCAAAATAAAGTAATTTGGGGGGAGAGAAGTGTAGAACAAATAAACACATACAGGAGGGAATGCGATGTTAGGTTAAGCTTAATACAACACCCTGATGAGCTTAATGATTGCTGTAATCGTACTTGTAATAATTCTAAGCATAATGACATTGTGACTAAGTTGTACAGTGACATAGTTAAGGCGTTATCGGAAGCCTCCGTGGTGGGCCGAGAGTGTAAAAAGCATATAAAAAGCAAGAAAGTTATAGGCTGGAATAAGCATGTAGCGGAAGCCCACGGGAAGGCCAGGCATAAGTTTTTATTATGGTTGTGGTACGGTAAACCAATTGCAGGACGTGTCTATGACGAAATGTGTGAGGCTAGAAAAATTTTCAAATCAAAATTAAGATGGTGTCAAAACCATCAAGAGCAAATTAAAATGGATATTCTAGCCTCACATTACTCTAGGAAAGATTTTCGGGGATTCTGGAAGTATACGAATAAGCTGAATAGTAGGCCGTCTCTTCCCGTGAGCATAAATGGTATTTGTGAGCCTGTCAAGATTTCTAATATTTTCGCGGACCATTTTATCGTTAAATCACCACAGGGGCCTTCTGAATCAATGTTTAATGTTGAGACCAGCAGGGAAATGGGGATAAGTTTTCTTAATAAAGATATCTCTCAAACAATTAAGTGTATGACTAGAGGTAAATCCCCTGGTCATGATGGTCTTAGCATTGAGCATCTTCAATATGCTGGGCCGCACCTTCCCAGAGTTCTATCGATGCTTTACAATCTATGTGTAAGTCATAGTTTTATGCCGAGTGAAATGATACGTACGATAGTCGTGCCTATTGTGAAAAGCAAAAACGGGTAACCTAACGGATAAAAATAACTATAGGCCTATCTCTCTGGCTACGGTTATATCGAAGGTATTTGACAGTATGCTTAACCAGCTATTAAATATTTACATAAAACCTCATGATAACCAATTCGGTTTTCGACCTGGTTTGTCTACGGAGAGCGCTATATTAGGTCTTAAGCATACTGTCAATTACTACACAAAGCGTAAGACTCCCATTTATGCTTGCTTCTTAGATTTGTCCAAAGCTTTTGACCTGGTTTCTTATGATATACTATGGAAAAAGATGAATGAACTAAATATCCCATTAGAACTTACCAACATATTTAAATATTGGTACAGAAACCAGGTCAACAACGTACGATGGGCAGGAGCCTTATCAAGGCCGTATGGGCTGGAGTGCGGGGTGAGACAGGGGGGATTGAGTTCACCAACGCTCTTCAATCTTTACGTGGACGATTTGATCGCTGAGCTCAGCAGTACCAGGGTCGGCTGTTACGTGGATGGTGTTTGTGTAAACAATATTAGCTACGCTGATGACATGGTGCTGTTGAGTGCATCAATTTGTGGCCTTAGGAAGCTAGTGGCCATGTGCGAGGCTTATGTAGAAAGACATGGACTGATCTACAATACGAAAAAAAGTGTAGTGATGGTCTTTGAGGCCGAGAGTAAATCAAAATTTAATGTACCACCTATTACCCTTAATGGTGTAACTTTAGAAATGGTGTCTAAATTTAAATACCTAGGACATATATTGACTCCCGACCTCAAAGACGACACGGATATAGAGAGGGAACGAAGGGCGTTGTCAGTGAGAGCGAATATGCTGGCCCGTAGGTTTGCACGTTGTTCATATAGTGTTAAACTCACCTTGTTCAGAGCATATTGTACAACTTTTTACACGTGCAACCTGTGGGCCAAGTACTCTCAAAAATCATATAATGCGCTTCGTGTTCAATATAATAATGCCTTTAGGGTGCTGTTGGGATTGCCCCGTTTTTGTAGTGCATCAGGGATGTTCGCAGCAGCGAGGATAAATTGTTTCTATGCCACGATGCGCAAAAGATGTGGTTCCCTGGTGGATAGATTACGGGGTAGTACCAACAGCATCATGAGGGTAATTGCCAGTAGGTTGGACTGTAGATATGTTAGCCACTGCTGTGCTATTTCTTGTTAGTAATGTAATAATGAATAAAATGTATCTAGAGTGTAAGTACTAACATAGAATATAAGCACTTTGTATACTAACAAAATATGAGTCTTAGGTTACTTGAAATAAAATTTATTATTATTATTATTATTATTATAATAAAATAAACAAAGTATAATAGGGTTCCCAGATATTTAGCTTTTTCAATTACAGCTTGTCTTTTTTGTATGTTATTATGCTCTCAAATTCTTTTTATCCTGGGTTACATGAAATTGCCGATATGCAATAATCTTAAAATATATCCTAAGAGAAACTTGTATGATCAAACACTTACATTCACTTACCAAGCTTCTTTATTTTTGGAAAAAGTTTATCTTCGAGGTTTGGTTAGTTTAGATTTTCCCTTTTTTACTATTTACGAGCCTTAGTTCTTATTTAACTGTACTACGAGTAGCACATATGATATAATGATGTTTTCCTGACCGTTTCCGGCCACAGCAGTCAATCTCATTGAGACTAGCTAACTGCGCAGGAGATATTATAGTGCACAAGTGTACGCGCAGACACAAGTGCACTCTCTATTCCTGTCACTCTCATACTCCGGTGGGACGACCACTCGACAGGACCGGTGAGAGTTAAGGCGCAGGACCGACAGCTTTACGTGCTTTCCGAGGTACGGGGGTGAAACACCGCCAACTTCCCAACTCCGTGCTGTTACTGAGGCTTACTATACGAAAGACTCAATAATAATAACTAAACTTGGCCCGACCCGGGACTCGAACCCAGGACCTCTAGGTGTGCAGCCGTACATGCTAGCCACTACACCACCGAGGCACTTTGATTAATATTTTATAATACTATAATAGGTACTAATTTTATTAGTTTCTCATTTATATTTAGTCAAGTTAAAGCTTTATCTATAAAATGAAATATCAGCCAGTAACAAAGTTATTTCTATTAAACAGTTCATGCAACGATCTATCTACTCTTTGTACATTAGAGTATATTTCCTACGACTTCAGAATTTATAAAACAATTTGAAACTTCGTCGCCCTTAAGACATCCATCTTAGAAAGTTCGGACACGAAAATCGCTTTAGCAAACTATAGACTTGCTACTTCGAATTCTCAACATATTCCTTAAAAAAAATAACTTATCTCTTACTGTTGAAATTAAATATTAGAGACTAAAGTTTTTATAACACTGTGATGAGTTCAGTGGAAATACAGGTGAATAATAAAGTAATAATATTTATATTCATGTAGATAATAGTTACTTTTTAAGTAATAAAAAGTACCTAACACCGACTTAAAAATCGGTTAAAAATTATACAGCAGCCATACGTGTGCGAACTTGCTGCGAATCATGCTACGTGTATATACCTACATACGAGTACATGTCTCCGACTGCAAAATACTCTGTTTCTTTTTCAACTTCTTCCCATATTTTGTAAACTAAAAGTTTTTACGCAGCCGATTTCTTTTTAATTTTGGAGAGTTATACATTTGAAGTCTTATTTAACAATTTCTTCTCCAAGTTACATTATTTTTGATATCACCTCTTAAAAACCTTTATTTTGATACCCCGATACAAAAATATTTTAAAGACACACAAATCTCCTAGAAAGCCCCCAAAATCTGCCGTTTTAATGTTTAATTACAATATTCGCGTTATCAAAACGAATTTAACGATGTATGAATAATTAAAATCGGTTAAGCCGTTTAGTAATTACGAGGGAACATAGGATCGGACATACATACATACACACATAGTACATACATACAGGTTAAACACATAACCCTCCTTTGTTCTTCGCCACAGTCGGTAAAAAATTATAATATAAGCACGGCCACTCTTAGTGATAGGGTTTTTTTTATTTTATACGGTCGGAATAACTTAGTCATTAAGAAAGTATAATAAATTAAAAATAAAAAAAAACCTCGACCATCTTGGACAGATTTTCATCAAACGTAGCTAAGAACACTACCGACTAATTTACCTTACAAACAAAAAAAATTAAATCAAAATCGGTTCATCCGTTCGGGAGCTACGATGCCACAGACAGACAGACACACACAGACACGTCAAACTTATAACACCCCGTAGTTTTTGCGTCGGGGGTTACAAAATTGTTAGGAAAATAGATTATTATCTCGCGTAACATACAAAAACCACACAAACGAATTGAATACCTGTATCTTTCAGATGTTGATTAATAAGGTATTCTCGTACCTGTTAAAAGTACATGGTGTA